ATACCAAAGTACATATTTAAAATGAAATAACAATAGATCAAACTCCCAAGGAAAAGCATGAGATCAAAGTAAAGGCATTTCAGTTTAAGTAAATAGAATAATACAAAAACTAAATACGAAATAACCTAACAAGTCAATAAATAAGAAATCTTTACAAGATAGAAAAAATACTCACATCATGTGCAGACTCATGTATATCACTATCTGTCATAACACCATTTGGAAGGTTGAAAGAGACTAATCTTCTCTCTCTGTCAACTAAATTCCCATATGCGGTCTCAATAACATCACCAATGTATGATTGTTGACCTCTTTTTCTACAAACCGCATATACATCTTTCTGGATTTCTCCTTGACCAAATGATGCTTTTGCTTCACTTGCAATTCTTTTTCTTACTTTCTCATCTGTCCAATGTTTGATCAAGGGCAATGTTGTTGGTTCAAGCTACCCTCTAAATGAAAGGTGATGAAAGTACATAATCTGAAGAATCAAGACACATCCACTGATTTATGTTCTTGATTCCTTATGCTTGTTTTTCTTGAAGCTCCCCACTGCTTTGCACAAGTTATTGAGTACATAACCACACCAATCCAGGTTACGTATTTCTTTTACATTGTCTACATAGCTGATTATCTTGTAATCTATCACTCTGTTTGGAGCAAGGGCTAAGAATGTGCTGTAAACATACATCACAAAGAACCTTTTAAAATCATCACATCCTTCCTTTAGACTCTTTATTTTGTTCTCCGAATTATTCACAAAGATGTCATCGCTTTCTGCATTTCCTAGCTTTTTCTTCCACTCATTCTAAATCATGATGTTTGCTATAGGTTGCTTCCTTAACTGATAAGTGAACTTGTTCTCTGTTACATTTGGAAGCAAGAAAACATCTTGAACATCATAGAAACTTACAGAGAACTCCTTCATCATGTCAATCTTCAGCATACAACTTATTCCATTGAAATGATGTCAAAGTCATGGAAGAATTTTTGTTGAAACTTTTTTCAGTTTTAGTTCAAGCTAGATCTCTGTCTCTCACTAAAGTCCTTGATAATATCAAATACTGCATTGGGTCTGCAGTGTGTTTTCTTGATGTCCAGATTACCATCATCATTGTCACTTCCTTCTTTAACCTCTATAACTTCTTGTACCTCCTTATCTGAACTGTCAAGCTTCATTTCTTCTTTAAATGAGCTTTTGTATTTTTTCTGTCTTCTTCTGATGATCCATCAAATTCTTCATTGTTATCTTCTTCTGGTTCGTAATTTTTATCTTTAACTTCAGCTTTTGTTCTTTTTGGTTCCTATATTTTGTTAAACAAGAAGATATTAAAACATTTACTTTTAGAATTAAAATATTCAAGAACAAACAACCTAATTCATAACATATCAATCTAACTTTAGAACCTAATACAATAAACTTTTATAAACCTTCTTAAGGTTCTAATTCCTTAAGCCTTCTCTTTATCAGTATTTTCTTTTTTGAAATCCTTTGAAGTTTAGCACCTAATACAGTTAAGTTTAACAATGAGTTTTTGTTAATACAAGGAGTATATAAATACAAAACATGTTAAATAACTTTAAAACATATATATATTTACTTTATAAGCATTTTTATTTACTTAATTAAACTTATCATTTACTTTTTATATTCAATCATGTAATTATATGCATCATAATATTCATATTGATAGCATAGACTTATAAAGGCAAGTGGTTTACTTTATAACTGTTTCTATTTACTTTATAAATTGAATCTTTTACTTCAAGATGATATACCTTTAATTAGAGATTTCTTTGAATTTGCAGGTTACTTTGGAGATATATTCTGTGTTGCAGGAGCTTTCTTTGCTGTAGGAGCTTTTTTCCCTGTAGGATCTTCCTTTTGAGGTTTCTTTGCTGCATCAGGTTGTGTTAGAGGTTTTTTTTGCAACATTTTTCTTTGGACTTTTCGTCATTTTAATTTGCATGCAATTCAAAACAAAAATGAAACATACTTTCTCGATTCATACTTGATGGCTTTATACTTCCTGATATATATACTTTCAAATCAACTCTTGTTATTATAATAACAGCAACAAATTGTTTTTATACATGCAACATTTCGAAACAAAAAACCAATCCTCATTTCAACCATACAATTTCTTGATTTATACACAAGCCATAATAGCTACAGATCATATAGTAATTCATTAACTTTTAATCAATGTAAAGTTACTTTTAGCCAATTTCTATCTACTTGTAAAAATAAATCACTCAAAATTAAAGGAAACTACTGAAAATCAAAGGAAACTACTCCAAATTAATGATTTTATTTTATTCACTTTTAATTATTTTATATCAACTTTTATTTGATTTCTTTTAACTATTATCAACAATTACTCAAAAATTAACTAAAATTACTCGAAATTAGTAGCAATAGAACCAAAATTACTCAAATTCAAAAAAAATAAACAGATCTAAATTTTTACCAATATTCTTTAAAAAAATCTAATATAAATTTATACCAAAATTCGTTAAAAAAAATAAGAAAAAAAAAAACTGATCTAAATTTATAGCAAAATTCGTAAAAAAAAAAAATTAAATAAACCTTTGATTTAAATTCGAATTAACTTCTTATCAATTGTAAACTAAATTACAACAAATTTAACCAAATATTAGAATTGAATCAAATGAAATTGGAACAAAAACAAACAAAATTCCAAAATTACCTGAATATCAAGTCAATTGAACTTCGAAACACAAAAATTGAACTTCGAACTACTCTGATTCAACTTCTTCTACTTCAAATTCAAGCAAAAAAACACAAAAATAAGTATGAAATTGCAACAAAATTTGAAAGGAATGGTGTCCTTCCAACAAGTGTATCATTCCGATAGAGGGTTCAGAATTATTAGAAATCTAATTCTTCAGTAAGGTCAAGTGATCGGAATGCCTAGGTGGAGGCCGCGTCCGATCAGTGATATTAATGTACAATTAATATTACAGCTTAATCTTGACTGAACCCTTCGGGTCAAACCCAATCGAACAACCGATCCGAGACGACGAATCAATCCGAAGGATTCTATGTGTCGTCAGAGTTTTACGAACAAAGACGTCGGATATCGAGCCTAAGGCGTCGAGACCGAGCGTCGCAAGTCGAGACGAATTTAGAATTCGACGAGACGTGAAATTAATCTAGCAACGAGTTCATAGCCTAGCCGTAGCCTCACATTAGCCTAACCTTGTGAGTGCTAGGCTAGGCAAGGTCCCAAGCCATGCGTGCCAAGCATCGTCAAGCACACGCACATCGCATGGCACTAGCATCGCAAGATGCGTGCCATGCGCATGTGGTGCTGCTATGCGTGCGTGGCGTGCTAGCATAGTAACCTAGCCATCGTCCATCTCTAGGCCTAACACCGAGCAATCGCTAGCCGCAAGCATTGCAGACTGCTAGCAGCGTGTTGGGGTTGTGCGTGCTTGCACGCAAGCTATGGCCCAGCGCCTAGCAACACAGCACCACGCAGCATTGCTAGGCGTGCGTGTGTGTGTGGCTGTGTGTGTGCTAGCATCCCTTCGCACCAAGCACCTAGCACCAAGCATCGCATAGCAAGGCTATGCGTGGTGCTAGGAGAAGGCACGCACCAAGCAGCACGCTATGCGTGCTAGGCTCCCAGCAGCACCACGCAACGCATCCTTGCGATGCATGCATGGGCTGGCTGGGTGGCTGAGCATATGCGTGCAAGGGGGGTGGTGCGCCTAGTACTAACAAGCATTTCTAGGCAGCGCCCAGCACACGCTATGCGGCAGCAGCAGCCCGCATGGCATGCGTGGCTTGCTAGCTGCGCACATGCGTGTGGCGGCTAGCATGCTAGCATAGCCAAGGCCCTAGGCAGCCATCTGGCTAGCAGCCAGCTGTCCCAGCCAGCACACCAAGGAGGAGGGGACTGGTTATGGTGGTTGGCTTAAGGGGGGCAATGCAATGGTCCCCCCTTTGGTTGCTTGGTTAGAAAGGGAAAATTGAGATGGTCCTCCCCCTCTTGGGTGGTCCTCACTTTCTCTCTTCCTCATCATGCCACTTGTTGCCTATTGATTGATTTGCACAAAATGAAATTCTCCCACATTGATCAAGAGTGGGAGTTCAAGGGTTCATTTCTTTATAAATACCAAGATTTTTGGATTTGGGAAGAACACACTTGAGTGGAACTAAAAAGGCATCTCCTTAGAAAAGTGAGAAAACCTTAAGTTCGTAAAAATCTAGTTTTTCTTGGTCGGGTCTCGACTAACCTTCGAGACTTGGACTGATCGGGTCGGGTTCGTGGGTACGAGCCGTCGGAGACCTTCGCGTTTGCGGGGTTCAAGTAAGAGCTCTGGAATCGAGCAAAGCATGCGTCAAGGGTAAGAATGTCTTTTCTTTCTCTCTTTAATTTGTTGTTTAATTAGTGATTGCATGCTTAGTTGCCTAAATTAGTGGGCGGGTTTCTCTTCCGCGTGGACTCGGACTCCACGAAACCCAACAAAATTAGACGAAAGAGTATGAACTTCAAAGTTTCAAAGTAATACCTAATTTTCGCCAATTTTTGCTAATTTTCACAATTTTTGTTCGAAACTGAAGAAATGTAGATGATAGAACTTGAATTATGCTTATATAGCGTAATTAAGCAGTTGAAAATGGCAATTATGGCGGTTTTTCGATGATTTTGAGCAGTTTTGAGCAATTGAAATGGCGGAGGACAGAGAGAAGAGAGAGATTATGGCGCTTGAAATTTCGTGCCTCGTTTAATTTGTCTGAATGAATTTGAACCGTTAGATTGCGCGCCTCTTCCCTTAGATCTGACTGTCCAGATTAGTTCTTAGTTCCTATTATTTGACTAGTTCTCATGGTAACCCGGTTATATGTATATATATAGAAATGGGATCATATGAGACCACATCCCTCGTATAAGAACCCTATTATATGTGAGGATATATTACAACCGTTAGATCAATTGAATCCAATGGTTACAATTTATCCCAATAAAACATAATTTCAAAAATAATTTTCTAGCATTTTCTCTCTCCTCCTTCATTCGACAGTTTCGACACTCCAAATCTTCTTTCCTCTTTCAATTTCTCTGCTCCCTTTCAACTGCTATTTGCTTTGATTCTTCATCAATTCTTCTTCAAACTTCATTGATTCTTTGTCAAGGTGATTTTCGTTGATATTAGTTTGATTTTCGTTATCTTACATATTTTCGTTTTTTTCGAAAAAACCTAGATATCACGCTTATTTGTGCTATTACGTTGATTTTAGTTTGATTTTAGGTTTATTTGAATAATTATTAAGTTGATTTTAGTTTTTTTGAGTAATTATTTTTTATTTGTGTTTTTACCTTGATTTTTGTTTGATTTTTCGGATTAATTTTTTCAATTGTGTTTAATTTTTCTGCTTAATTGTATTAATTTCGTGTTCTTATTCTTTGAATTGTTTGGATTTTGAGGATTATTCTAATTGTTACTTGAGGGAACTTCAACTTCTCCATTTAAGCAATTTCTGAGTTCCTCTTCTAATCCATTGAAACTATTCCATGAGGTAAGATATTCTTTCGACGGAAAGTGATAGGATGTGATGAGGTTGGAAGGATAGGTGAGGATGTCATCACCTTCAAAAACCCAATTTGAAGGGACCCAAGTATGCAGAACAATCCGTTGTTGAAGTTGATAGTAGTGGTCTATGGAAGGAAGATGCTCCTGAGCTTAAACATTGTTGGGCCCAACCAAGTTTGGGTATTAATTTCTGAACTCTACAACCTTCAAAAATTTATGAATTTGATTTAATATTTGGATCTCAGAAAAATAGAATTATGATGTCATAATATTAATTTCTTCTTCTTTTTTTTTCTTAGTTGGAGACTAATCTAAGGGATATGTTACTTTCTCCTTGACGGATGGTCCAGAATACCATGTCTCACAGGTGACTAACCAGATTCCACCTCCTTTTATTTATTTGCAAAGTTCTTTAAATTGCAATTAATGATGTCATAAAGCTCTTGTTGAAAGTGCAATTAATTTTGCCCTTAAATTGGTAGGTGATTTATGTATTTAATTATTGTATACTATAATCTCTATTCTCTAAATTATGTTTTAGTTTGGATGTTGGCTGATCAATAATTTTGATCAATCTCATTACTTTCTTCTTGCAGTACGGAATATATATAATAGAATTATAAAAAGAAGAAGAGTTTCCTTGCTTGAGAGTTAAATGTCTTGTCATGTACAAGAATTTGTCCTAAAATCTTGTTGGGGTAGCTCAATTAATCTCAAGTTTGGTAGATTTTGCTGCCATCTGAAGTTTTGGGAAAATCACCATCAATACACATTGGTGAAAAAGCAATTTTTTTTTCCAGTCGAAATCAGCTAATTAAACCTTGGAATGTCAATTTGTCACTTAGGCCTATGGTCCTATCATCTTTCTATTTATTCTTGGTTTAAAACTTGTAAATTCCTAACACCACCAAGTCACTAACTGTAGCAGAATTCTGCTGGGTAATCGTTATTACCCTTACTGTTGTTCGTGTCTCTAAACTGTCTTACAAAACTTGTAGATTTATGCTGTCATGCACACTCGTTAAAATTGGAACTGCTCCTGATTGTGTTTAGTAGGATATCTAGGTCCAGAATATCCCACTACTCTTTAAATGTAGCTTTCTACTTATTATAAGCCTATGATGTGCTTTTGTTACCAGCCTTGGAATCGGAATTTGCCACAGTGGTGTAGCATTAAGATTTTTGAGTGTTGGATCACTCATACTGACATAATGACATGCCTGAAGAATCACATGATAGCTAGAAACCTGTATTTAGTGTTGAGTCCCTTAGGTTTTGAGTGATGACAAACAGTTACGGGATACAGGTTACAATAAGTAATTGCAAATAGTTGGTTGGAAACCAGCTAGAATTGAACACTATTTCTCTAGACAAGTTATTACTTATTTGTGGTATTCATTTAACTAACTTGTCTATATGCAGGAAATGGTTGAAATAAATTTTTCCATGTATTGGTGGGAAACCAATAGGAACTGTTTCCTCGACTGCTATGTTGAAAAGCAGTCATATACTCTTTATTGTACATTAACCATGTTACATGTGCAGTAGTTGAGTTGATTCCAAGACTTGGAGCATGGAGGCTTTTCAAAGACATTCGAAGAAAAATACATTGCTTATAATGGACGTATTCAAGGAGGATTCAAGTCTTGAAGATTACATGAAGAAAAGAAGATTTGTACTTTAATGATTAATCTAGTTTTATCATGTAATGTGCTCCGTAGTATGACTTGCATGTTTGGGTAAAATAAGTGCTTATAAGTGTATTGAGGTATATAATGAATTCTGGTACAAAGCTGGAACATAATTCATAACATACTCAATTCAGGGAACCAGGTTCACTGTACGGAATATCCATGCTGCGTGTTTTGAAAAGGATTTTGTAACAATATTTTTCAAAAGATTATCTTGAAAATATTCTAAGCAGCTGGAAATTAGATGATAATATTATGGTTACCTAAAAACTAGGAGTATTTATCTTTATTGATTTTATCTTTATGATTAAATCAAATAAGATAAATACTTTCCTAAAATCACATTATTGCTTGTTCATCAAGATTGCGTGATTTAAGGAAACTAGGGTTTTTGTATCCAAGTATATAAACTCATCTAGCTTCTCATATTCTGTAAGTCTCTCTGAAATGAAAAAAGAGTAATCTTTGAGAGTCATATACACTTAAGCACAAGAGCCTATTCATTGAGTCATATACAAGAGCACTCTTAGAGCTTAAACATTTTCTCTTAATTAGCTTTTAGAAGCGAGATCACAAGAGAGCATTTGATTTTGTCAAAGCCTTCAACAGAGGGGTTGAAAGGTTGGGTTAGTGTTTGTGATTTCAAACACAAGGGGCTTACTAGTGTAAGTCGAGCGCATATTCGGAGTAGAGTGTAGGGTATACAGGTTCCCGGAGTAGGGAGACAGTAGAGTGTTTGTGTTCTTTATTTTTCTGAGTAGATTAATAAGAGAACATAGGGTAGGAGGACGTAGGCCATAGTTGGCTGAACCTCGTTAAATCTTGTGTCTTCTTTATTGCTTTTCTTACATTTCGCTGCTTACAGAAACCAGCCTAACTGGTTCCTCTCACAGATCGAAAAAGAAGAAAAATAGGCCAAGGATACTTAACACTCAATTCACCCCCCTCTTGAGTGCTCTAAAACCTTCAATTGGTATTAGAGCCTAGACTTCTCACAAGAGTAACATCTAGAGGAGTCAAGCATGAGTACTCAAGAACTAAACGCTATGGGCTATGACAACAAGACACCAAAGTTCAACGGAAATAACTATGCTTGGTGGAAGAAAAGGATCAAGAATGTAATCATGGGAATTGATTATGAATGTTAGCTAGTTGTCAGGAATGGTCCCAATATCATCCTCAAGACAGATGTTGAGGGAAACTTGTTCCCAAGAAAGACAGTGAATTAGTATCTGCTGATTACAAACTGTTGGAGAAGAATGGCAAAACAATGTCAATTCTACAACAGGCTATAGGTGAGAATGAAACAAACCGGATCTCAGGTTGCAGCAATGCAAAAAAGATTTGGGATACCCTCGAACTTGCCTTCGAGGGAACCAACGAGGTAAAAAGGTCCAAAATTGATTTACTCATGTCTAAGTATGAGTTGTTTGCTATGAATTAAAATGAAAAGATTAATGATTGTTTTTGTAGATTTATGACAATTATCAATGATCTTAGATCTCTTGGTAAGAACTTTTTTGATGAGGATCTTGTGAGAAAAGTTTTGCGCAGCTTGACAGATGCATGGACAGCCAAAGTAACAACAGTCTACGAAGCAAAAGATCTGTCCACCTTGTCTCTGGAATAGCTGATTGGTTCCCTCATGACTCATGAGATGTTGATTGACTCTAAGTCTGAGAAAGAACCAGCCAGAGGCATGGCTCTTAAGGGAACAGTAGAAGAGGAAGAAGATGAAATTGGCATGATTGCTAAAAGATTTGAGAGATCACTTCGAGACCAGAGGAAGAACTTCAAAGGTAAGAATTTTAAGAAGTCTAACTTCTCTTCTGCAGGTTGCTTCAAGTGTGGTGATAAAGGACATCTTATTCAAGATTGCCCTACGTGGAAGGACAAACAGCCCCAATCTGCAGATAAACGAGCCTTCAAGAATGCTATGATAGCATCCATGTGGGGTGATTGATGAGGATGAAGAATCACCTAACTCTGATGTTTGCTTGACCGCCTTTGCAAACATTAAGGGAAACAACATTGATCCAGGAACCAAAGGGGGAACCAGTACGTTCAGAAAATGCTTGATGGCAAAGAAGGATGTACTACATGAACACAAGTTAAACTTAGAACAAGTCAGAGAAGATATGCATGAATATGATAGAGATAATATGATTGCTTGTATTGACTCTTTATTAGATGAGTGCTATAAATTGGGTGAAACTTACATAACTGGAAAAAGAGATCTTAAAGAAAAACGTGTTGAATGTGAAATTGATGTTGCTAGTTGTGATCACCTAGAAGAAGTTTGCCATGAACTGAAAAATCAAGCGGCAGAGCTAGAAGTTGAATTGGACAAGTGTAAAGTGGAACTGGAAAAGGCAAGATCTTCTAAACCTGACTATCCTAGTGATGGTGAAGAAGATTTGACCTCCTGGTTCCCTAAAGACTTATCAACCACTAGTGAATCTCTTGATTTTTCAGCAGCTAGAGGTAAAGCAAATTCCTGTAGTAGAACTTCCTTATTGAAAGCCTTTGAGACATTGGCTCGTAATTTGGAAGATTCTCACAAGGAAATTACTTCACTTAAAGCTGCTCAGTTCATGTTTCCTCCTCAGGTACCAGCGTAGAAATTAGTGATGTGATAAATAAATATGAAAATACTATTTGTGAATTGCATGTTGAAATCTATCAATTGAAAAAGGGCAAGCAGCCAGTAGTTGTTAACATAACTATTGAATCTCTGGTTTCAAAGCTTATTTACAACTTGAAGCCTTAAAAAGTAATTTTGATTTTCTAAAAGAGAAAAACGATTTGTTGAATAAGACTCTTGAAAACCAGAGAAAAGGAACTTCATGATAGTCATAGACATGTTGAAAAACTATTGACTGCACAAGAAACATTGAGTTTTTTAACCTCATCGAAAGGTAACAGGGGAAAGGTTGGTCTTGGATATACCAGACAGAGAACCAAGACTAACTGGTCCCCCAGAGAAACCACATGGATTAAAGAATTCAAAAGAGGTAAGTATGTTATGACTAAAGAAATGTATGTTTGCTATCATTGTGGTATGAATGGACATAAGATTCATGAATGTCCAGCTAAGAGGAACAGTGTGAATAAGAACAATAAACGTATGAAGTTAGTTTGGAGAAGAAAAGACCAACAAGAACCTAATGTTGTTGAAAAGGGACCCAAGGAAGTTTGGGTTCCTAAATCTAATGTTTGATCTGTTCTTGCAGGCTAAAGTGAAGAGAGGTAACTATTGGTATTTGGACAGTGGGTGCTCAAGACACATGTCCGGAGATAAGAAGCAATTCCTTTCACTAGTAGCCTTTGATGGTGGAAGTGTCACCTTTAGAGATAACAACAAGGGAACCATCACTGGTTTAGGTAAAGTAGGTAAGACACTTTCAAATGCAATTGATGATGTTTATTATGCTGAGGGCTTACAACATAATCTGTTGAGCATTTCTCAATTATGTGACAAAGGTAATAGAGTTGAGTTCCAAGAAAATCTTTGCCACATAATTAACTCTTTAACAGGTGAGCTTGTGTGTGAGGGAATCAGGAAACACGATGTTTACATCACCTTTCTGGATAAAATTCCTCAAGACAAGTCTGTTTGTTTGAGAGCTGTTTCTGACAATAACCAATGGATTTGGCATAAGAGATTTGGACATGCTAGCTTGACACTCTTGAATAAACTAAAGTCTCGTGACATGGTGGTAGGACTCCCTAACATCACGTACGAGGCAGATAAAGTTTGTTCAGAATGTTTCAAGGGGAAACAGGTCAAGATCTCTTTTAAGCCTAAAATAGTTTGAGTACCAGCAGACCCTTCGAACTTGTACACATTGATTTGTGTGGTCCCATGAGAGTACAAAGTTGAAGAGGTCATAGATATGTTTGTGTTATGGTTGATGATTATTCCAGGTACACTTGGGTGATAATGTTACATTCAAAAGATGAAAAATTTGACGAGTGGGTAGCATTGGTGAAGCAGGTTGAGAACCAGCTTTCTCACAAGCTGGTCTCGGTAAGATCAGACCATGGTACTGAATTTGGTAATGCCAACTTTGTTGATTATTGCAGGGAACAAGGAGTTAGTCACAACTTCTCAGCCCCCAGAACACCACAGCAAAATGGTGTTGTAGAAAGAAAGAATAAAACTCTTGAGGAAATGGCGAGGACGATGCTCATTGAGAGTGGTCTTTCTAAGAGTTTCTGGGGTGAAGCTGTTGACACTGCTTGCTATACACTGAATAGAGGTCTCATTAGACCAAAGTTAAATAAGACTCCCTATGAACTCCTCAAAGGTCGAAAGCCTAATATTGCATACTTTCGTGTCTTTGGATGCAAATGTTATGTACATAACAATGGGAAGAACCAGCTAGATAAATTTGATCCTAGGAGTGATGAAGGAATCTTTCTTGGATATTCTGCTTAAAGCAAAGCATATAGAGTCTTTAATAAGAGGACTTTGTGTGTTGAGGAAAAGAGTGTCCATGTCATTTTTGATGAATTTAACATGTCTTCTGAGATTGCGCAGGTACTGATGAAATGATTGGACTGATGGAGTTTACGGGGAACCATGATGCTGGTTCTCTAAGTGAAGTACAAGCAGATCTAGGCTCTCCTAATGCTTCACCAGATGATGATGGTGAAGAGCCTAGAGAAGAAAATAAGAACAACGAGAATTCAGTAGGGGAACCAAGACCTAATGGCTTCCCAAGTAATAGACAGGTAAGGAGTTCAGGGGGAATGGATGAAGAGGCCTCCCCTGAACCTGAGGTAAGTGATGTTAATGGAAACAGCGTGAACATGAATTCTCCTGGTTCTACAGAAGAAGAAGTGATTCACGGTGGTGCTGGTTCCCAACCTAATGAAGAAGCACAAAATGATTTTACTCTCAAAATTTTTTAAATACCTATCTTCTCATCCCTCAGATCAGATCATTAGTAACATTAACAAGGAATTCAAACGAGAAGAAATGTTTTTCAAAACTTTTGTGCTTTTTATTCTTTCTTGTCTAGTGTAGAGCCAACTAACTACAAAATGGCTTTGACCGATCCTGATTGGGTTCTAGCAATGCAAGATGAATTAAATCAGTTCCATAGGAACCAGGTCTGTTATCTTGTACCTAGACCAAAGGAAAGGTTAGTCATTGGTACAAAATGGGTTTTCAGAAACAAATTGGATGACCTAGGTACAATAGTCAGAAATAAAGCAAGGCTAGTGGTGCAAGGTTACAATCAAC